ATCTACAATAGTGATTTAATGGTCATATAGTAGTGACTTAGACCTGTAGTAATAATATAACGAACCTACATTAGTGACTTAATGGACCTATAGTAGTTACTTAATGAATCTACAACCTGTATTAATGATTTAATGAAAATTTAGTTTTAATTAATTTAATAAAACTACAAACTGATTTGATGTAATTGTATGTTAATTAAAATTTTTTAAAAATATATGAATGTCAAGATATCAATTAGAGATTTTTAATGATATACAAAGTATTTCTTATATGTTACCTTTATCTAAAAAAAATAAAATTAAAATCATGAAAACATTTAAAAAATTCTCAAACACTCATCTTTCAACCAATCAAAATAAGTTTATTAAATACTACGTGTTTCTTTGTATCAATTAGATACTTATTAGTAAGAGTTTCAATGGAACTAGATATTACAACTCATTAAATGAGTTTCTTATTAAGGGCAACCACAATAATGATTTTTGGGGAGATTTTGACTTTTGAGGTTGTAATGCTTATGAAATTTTGATTTTGACTTTTGAGGTTGTAAATGAGTTTTCAAAAAAAAAAAAAAAAAAGTTGTAATGCTTATGTGAAGGAAAGACGAAGAGGAGATAAAAGGACATGGGTCATTGTGCAAAGGACATGCCTATTGGGAATGCTCTAACAAGAGTTATATTGGAACTAAATATCACATCTTATATATTAAATGGTCCCATTATTTTTTAAATTTACATCATACTGTACGTGTTGAGAAAATAGCTATGAACAGATACAACATTGTAATGTAGTTAGTAAAAAAAAAAAAAAAAAAAAAAAAAAAAAAAAACACAACACTATGATTGATAAATAAAAAAATAGAATAGGCTCAATTTGAGAACAACTTTATTAACTTGAACTTTTCGATAAGTTAAAGCTTACACAAATTTACAAAGTTCGATAACTACGGGGACACTTAATTGGTAGGTAAAGATTGCCTAAATATTTGTAGGACTACATGTGATAATGTGATATATCATAAATTAATGAAATTATTTTTTAATGATTAAACAAACATAGAATAAATTATTTTAAATGAAATTATTCTACTTTTTGTTTAATCATTAAAAAATAATTTCATTACTTTATGATATATCACATGTAAGACAAAACGTTTTTATTTTTTATTTATTTTTTTATTTGGTCATCTGTTTTTCGTTATTCCAAAAGGCTGAACCCCAACCCTAAGGACCCCCCCACACCCCGGTCCGACAGAGCATTTGGGAGGATGTAAATCATGGTGACTCAACTGAACATGAACCACAGAGGCTAGACCGGTGCTCACTGCGCACAAGGAGCCCCCCTCACTTTGAGAGGTTGCTCCCACACTGCCGCTGGTGAGACTCGATCCCTGGTCATTATTCCAAAGTTTGGTTATCTGTTTTTCGTAATTGCATCCTTGGCATTTAAAATTAAGGATTAAATTAAAAAAATTATTATAGTTAAGGACTAAATTTGGTATTAACTACTATTTTTTTTTTTGAATGCTACTAGCTCTATTACATTGTAGTATCTGTTCATATACTTTCTCAACCTACTGAAACACAGAGAGCTAATAACGCCTCCACTGAGACTCGAACTTACAACCTTCCAAATGGAAGTCCAACCCGGATACCATTAGACCACATAGTCCTGGTGGTATTAACTACTATAGTTGAAGATTAATTTGGATAAAATCACTATAGTCGAAGGTTAAATTAGGTATTAATAGATGAGAAATTACCAAGGAGGACTCAATCAGGGAAAAGTATTGAAATCGATGATCCAATTAAATACAAAAAGACGTTTAGGACTAAATAAAAAAAATCACTATAATTGATGACTAAATTGAGTATTAACTCTATATAAAATAGATAAAATAGAACACGAAATTTCATAAAGTATAATAATTTTTTTTAACGCAAATTTTTTGTCTTCGTCGGACTATATCTGGGACTCCATATAACCATCCCCATTAAACAAATCAAGTCACAATTCTGTGCACAAGAAGCTCATCCCAAACTCAAACCTCCAATGTTCATAGCAAGGATCGAAGCCTCACCCTAACACTGAAAGAAAAATTTAAATGAGACTTCTCACTCACTAGACCAATGCCTTGGGCTTATTTTAAAAAAAAAAAAACTAGTATTTTTTCCGTGCGATGCACGGACACAATTTTAGAAGTATTGTTTTAATGTTATGATACTAAGTAGATATAATTTTATTAAAATATAAATATAACTATACAATGTAATATTTTTTTTTTTGAAATTTGACAATAAAATGTAAAACTTATTCATTTAAAAAAATTTATCTTTGTAAGCACTATATTGATTTTATATAGAAATTTCTCATTTTTTTACATATGTGGAGTCCAGTTATAATTGAGGTGTGGTTCAATTATAATTAACATTAAATACAAATCAAGACCTCTTTATACGCGTAGTATTATCTTTTAAGGTTTCATCTAATTTTAGTATTTAATGAATTTATAACTTTGTACGTATATTTTTGCTTGCATCTTATGAGTTGTATAAACCCAACAATCTTTTCATAAATAAATAAATAAATATATATATATAATTAAGTTCCAGTGCAGGTGAAGGTTTTCCGTGCAGTAGTGCGGTGAGTAATGTGCGCGAGTATTGTACTTAAGGTGCGTGAGTTTGTGCTTAAGGTGCGTGGGTATGTACTTAATGTGAGTAGTGTTGAAACTTAAGGTGCATGAGTTTTGTGCTCAAGGTGCGTGAATTTTGTACTTAAGGTGCGCACGTGAGTCTTGTGCTTAAGGTGCGTGAGTTTGTGCTTAATGTGAGTAGTTGTTGAAAACTTAAGGTGCGTGAGTTTGTGTTTAATGTGAGTAGTTGTTGAAAACTTAGGGTGCGTGGATTTTGTGCTTAAGGTGCGTGATGCTTGTGCTTAAGGTGCTTGAGTTTTGTGCTTAAGGTGCGTGAGTTCGTGTTTTTAAGGTGTTTTGTTTGTGTTCTTAATGTGCGTGTGTTGTGTACTTAAAGTGCCTCAGTTTAATGCTTAATGTGCGTGCAACTGCACAACCACACGGGAAGCGGATCCCGCACCTGATGACATTGCAAAAAAAAAAAAAAAATCAATTAACATTTTTATAATATAATAAAAATAGAATTTTTAATATAACAAATGTGGCAAATTATATTATGCACCGCGGTGCATAATCGATTATGCACCGCGCGTCTTTTTTTTAAAATGAAAATTAACGGTGTTTATTTTCGCCGTTTCGCACCCTTTTACAAAAAGTAACTCTGTTATTCAGTGTCATTTTGTATACACTGCAGTTTCAGTTGAACACAACTACAGTTTCATTTCGATATAACTATAGTTTCATTCGATATTTATAGACTCAAATATGTGAAAATGTTATTTAATTTTATTTTATATACACTATAGTTTTATTAAAACACAACTACATGATCATTTTGATATAATTATAGCTTCATTGTATAATATACACTCAAATATGTGAAATGTTATTCAGTTTCAGTTTATATACACTGCAGTTTCATTTCACTATAACTACAGTATCATTTTAATATAACTGCAGTGTCGGTTTGAATATACTGTAGTGTCAGTTGGTGTTTAATACACCAAACAAACGGACTCCGTTAACTCTAACGGCGGGCCGTTTCTTTACTTAAAGAAACGGCGTCGTATATGGGCCGCGGTGCATAATCGATTATGCACCGCGGTCTATAATATAACAACTGAACAAATGTTGGGCCAATACATAGTTACATTTTTGTTATTTCTGGCCCAAAGTTAATCCATTGTGGCAGCCCAATACCTAAAATCCATTAAACCCATAAATATTGGCTAACTTTTCCCTCCAAATTGTTGTTGCTTTTATATAGTAAAGATAGTAAAGATTATTGTTAATTAATATTGTTGAATGCTTAATTTCACAATGTTCACTGCAACCAATTTCCTGGGATTTGTTTGATTAATTAATAATATGTTGATACACATTCCAAATCCTTGAGAAAGACACAAGACATAATCTAGACCATGCATGTATTGTTAGCAAAAAAAAGAAAAAAAGACACAAATTCGTAGGGTGTGTTTGGTAATGGGTTTACACACTAAGAATCGAAATCAAATTTATACTTCGTGTCCAATTGACAACTTTTTAAAATACAATTATAAGATTTGATTACTACTTCAATTAAAAACCTCATTCTATAATTTAAAATGAATATCATTTCATTTTATTAGTAATCTGAATTTTAAGTTTGGATTAGTTCTTTTAGACAGTACCCAATAATTATTATGAAAGATGTCCCAATTATAGTAGATGAGGTTTAATTCCTACCACGAACATTGAGAGTTTAGTTTTGAGTTAAGTTCTTTATGCATAAAAGTGTACAGTTTGATGTTGAGTACGTTTCAAAATTATATACTAGATTGATTCGATTTAACTTATTATGGGTTTATGAACGGGTTCATGTTGTTTCAAATATAATTCTGTTAACTTTTTGTTGGAATGGGTGGGGTTGGAAGGGTTGTTAGGGAAATGGGGATTTTATAAAATTTGTTTTGGGTAGAGAGCATGGGCAGGGGAAAACCAACTGTGTGGGCATGTGCTTTTCTTGGCTGTTTTGGATTTTATCTTATCCTTCTTTAGTGTTTTCATCTTGTTTGCTACTCTTTCTTGTTTGCTAGCTTTTAATTTGTATGCATGGACCGCCCATATCTCTTTCACACTATATATTATTTCAGTTAACTAGACAATACTCCATCCTTTGAGGATAATAGTTCCGACTCTCCATTTTTGAATAGGGTCTCAATAATACCTTGTTAATTAATTAAAGTTTGGATCAAAATAAACACCGACGGGTGCATTCAAGCAAATGGTCATGCAGCATGCCGAGGAATCCTAAGGAATGAAGATGCTGATTTTTTAGGAGCTTTCATAAAAAAGATTGGAACGTGTTATGCTTTGGAAGCAGAGATGTGGGACATTCATTATGGGATCGAGAAGGTGTGGGAGATGGGCTATCAAAGGGTCGTGATAGAGACTGATTGTCTAAAAGCAACATCGTTGATTAACGATGCAATGGAATATGAGGGTCCGGCCAGGAACCTTGTTGAGATGTGCCGGGATGCAAGAGGAAGAGACTGGGACCTTTGTTTCACTTATGCTCCAAGAGAACAAAACAAAGTAATTAATGCCATGGCCAAGTTTGCAAGCAACCAAGAGGAGGATCTCAACTGGTTTGCAATTCCACCAATTGAGATCCATAGACATATTCGAGAGGATGAGCTTGGTCTCCTTGGTGAGATGAATATTGTGAGGGTCGCTTAACGATCTTGGGTATTCCCCTCCTTTGTTTCAAAAAAAAAAATTAATTAAAGTTTAGGGTGCGTTTGGAAACTCAGAAAATGATTTTTGAAAAATGCTTTTCGGATTTCCAGTGTTTGGCAAGAGGGTGGAAAATGAGGTCAACGGAAAATGATGTTGTAGTCAAAAGAAAATAAGTATATTTTTGGGCAAAATGACTTTCCCTTATTTTGGGGAAGTCATTTTCTAATCATCATACTTGGTATGACTCCTGATTTTTTTTTTTTTTCGGGTTGTTGAAAAGTATAGAAAGTTTGACAAGACATAACTTTTGACTCGGTTATCCATTTTGTCCCACCAATTTCTCAAAAAAATGCTTCTTTTACTCTTAATTTTTTTTTTTATGTATTTAGATAGTTTCAACAATATTTTGAACAATTTTATAGCCACTTAAATAAATAGTTTGTAAGAAAAAACTATTGGAACCTTATGTTTTATTAGTGAATTTTTACAATTTTTAGTTTACAAATTTTTTTACAATTAAAAAAAATAATTATAATAATTAATTGGGCGCCTAGGTTGCCTAACGTATTTTACGACATTGGTGTATACTGTTTATACTGTATATATACTATGTACACTATATATATATATATATATATATATATATATATATATATATTATATTTACAGTATGTATTTATATATATTTAGATGACACACACACACACATATATTCAAAATTGTTCACAAGCTAGGCTTAATGAGTGCGATTTACAAAAGGATTTTATCAAAAATATCAAATAATTAAAATGTTGAACCAAACACACAAAGACAGTTTTCTGTTGCGTAGCCAAACATCGAAAATTAAAATGTTTTCTGAAAAATAACTCGTTTTCCAGAAAACATTTTCCAAAAGTCGTTTTTCTACTTTTCAAACGGTGCCTTGACAGAATTATGTGGCAAGTAGCATGTCAATTTTAAGGGTGTTGCAAATAAAATCCTTTCAAAGTAAGCATTGAAAATGCTCAATGCTTACTTTGACTATTTCTTGTCACCAGTCGGCTATGGAGTATAGAGAAAATTTCAATTTTGGTCTACTGACTATTGGAGTTGTGTTAATTGCAACACTTGACTATAAAAAATGTTAATTTAGTACCTTTTTTTTTGAAAGCCAAAAGCATTGGCATATATTAGTGAAGAAACGAAGTAATAAAGTCAGAGGGACAGAGTCCCAATACAAGGAATGTTCCTGATCAAAAGCTACCGTAGCTAAAGTATGAGCATGTAAATTAACCGATCTAGAGACAACATCTAACGAGCAATAATTAAATAAAGATATAGCCGCCCGGCATTGGTCCACAACCATCCCAACGTAAGACAAGATAGTCGTAGGACTTGAATGCAAAGAAGTTCGCAATTCTGAGCAATCTGTGAGGAGATCCACATCTAATTCGTTCCGTTCCCTGAGCCAAGATAGAGCCTCTTTGCATGCGAGTGCCTCCGCCATAAGGGGTGAGAAATAGCCCGGGAGTTTGCCGTTTGTTGCCGCTTTGAACGAGCCTTCCGGACCGAACAACACTACACCATATGTCGCTTCCCCAGTAGCCGGCCGGTACCCCCCGTCGATATAACAGCGTGGGCATGTTTGTGGCAGCGCCGTTCCTGTTGCGTATTGTTGCTGCCGAGGGCCACGGTGGTGAGCATGTGCGTATGCATGCAACGCAGTAGCCGCCCGCCTCCTTACATGTTCCGGCCGTGTCAACATTCCGTTCCACACTGCTCCATTTTGGGCGTTCCATAAGTGATAAAGCACCGCAGCCACCATGCAAAATTGTTCCTCTGTTAAATTAACCATTGCAACCATGAGCCATACAGGAAAAGAAACAGCTCGTTTGTGATAGGTAACTCCGAAACATTCCAAACTAGTTTAGAATAATCACAAGAAACAAGTGCATGCATAACATCTTTATGAGTTAGCCCACACATTGGGCATGTTGGATCCACATCCACCCTCTTTATAATTAGATTACTTGTAGTAGGAAGAATATCACATAAGGCTCTCCACAAGAAAGTTTTCCACTTTGGTGGGATTTTAAGTTTCCATAATGTAATCCATTTATCAAAAGCACCTGGGTTATACTCAAAATTACCAACAATCTGCCTATAAGCATTTTTAACTGTATACATTCCTCTCGGGTCACTGGGCCAATACCATGAGTCCTCATAGCCCGGGCTATGGGGATTCTGGATATACGAACCACATCATCCGGATCAAATAAATCAGTTAGGATATGGGGATCCCATGAATTAGTCTGTTGGTCAATTAATCCTATCACTTTGGCTTCTCTTTAACTCCTCTAGCATAATAGTCTGAACTAAAGGGCTAGGGTCATCAGGTAGCCACGGGTGGCCCCAAATTAATGTTGTTGCCCCGTTGCTAATTCTCCTACGTACCCCAAAGCAGACCATACCATGTGCAGCCATTATACTCCGCCAACAATAACTTGGGCTATTTCTCATATTTGCATAAGGAGGTTTTTGGGTAATAACGAACCTTGTATACCTTTGCAGCAAGTGAACCCGGGTTGGTAAGGAATCTCCATGCCTGTTTTCCTAGCATAGCTAGATTAAAAGCACAAAGTTCTTTAAAACCCAATCCCCGTACTTCTTAGGGATACATAATTTGCTCCAGGCTTTCCAATGAATTCCCTTTTTTGCGCCTTTTCCCCTCCAGTACTTATTCATTGTCCTCTCAATAGATAAAAAAACTGATTCAGGTAGCAAAAAAAACACTCATTGAAAAGGTAGGCATAGATTGAGCCACGCTTTTCAAAAGTACTTCCTTCCCAGCCTGAGAAAGCAGTTTCTTGTTCCTCATCAAAACTCGTTGCACATCCGTTATATGATGAAAAACGAAGAGGAAAAGACCCGGTTGTATCTCCGTAGCTTGAACACCACTGACCAGTTGCCAAACTGACGCCATTACTTGACTCATGAACTCAAGCTTAACCAACTTCCTCGTTAAGAAACGGCCAACGATCCCCCACGACTCCTCCACACCGCCGGCGACCACCTCCCCGTCTTCGGCCTCCTCCACAGGTTCGAAGACCACCTCCTCCTCCTCAAGAACCAGATCCGCCCACCTGGCGGTGAACCCTGCCACGGCTACAGAAGATGACGACGCAGCCATATCCACACTAGCATATAACCACGCGAAGACGGAAAGATTACCGGAAGAAAGTCGAAGAAAACTGAAGGGAAACCCTAGAAACCCTAGGTAGAGAGAATCTGATCTTTATTTAATTATTTATGATGATTATGATTAGGGAAAATTGTTAATTTAGTACCTTGACTATGCAATTTCTATCAATTTTGGTCACGCCGGACAAATTACCGGCGAATTGTGACCGGAAAAACTTAAGTCAACATATGTATTGAATTGGAAGGGGTAAAATATTCTTTTCTTATTCCTTGGGAAAACGAATGGGAAGTGGAGATCAGAGTGGCATTATTTCGTCGGAATACCAGTAACGACGTCAGGGTTTGAAAGTCCGACGGTTGGATTACGGCAAAATGAAGCGGCAGAAAGGGAGAGGTGACTGCAAGTGGACTTATAATCGACGGTGGATTCTGTGGCGTCGGCGGCATTGAAACTGCTTGTACTAGGATTATTAATGGCGTTCGTTAGCTTCATTCTCCTGTAACCGCCGCAAGTACTAGTAAAACTAGCGGCAGAAACCGGGCCGATTTGTTGCTGCTGCTGCCCCACCACCATCGCTCATTTATGGCGAGGAGGACGTGCCAGTGGTTCTTCACGGCGTTATCCGTCCGGCCGAGGAAGTACAGGCGGGCGATTTGCTATACAGTCGTTGTAACACCCCATTTTTCTTAACCTTGATTATCAAAATAAACTTTAAAGATAAACTATAGCAGCGAAAATAAACTAAATTAACAACTTAAAAGGGGTGTCACCGCCACAACCACCATTTACGGTGATTGCACAGGCTAAGGATAAACAAACTAAAACATTTTTACATCAAAACTCTAAGATAGGAACTAAACTAGTAACTACCAAACAGTCTACGCATTAAGCTACCGCGTGCGCTCTCAAACGCTGGCCCCACCTGAAAGGGGTTAACAAACAAACAAGTAGCAACAAAACCCGTTAGCACGAAGCTAAGTATAACGCCACTCAACCCTGTAAAGTAATACAGTATCTCATAAGCAACTCATGCTATCATATACTACTCATGCAATCTCGTGTAAAACATATCTCATAAGCAACTCATGCTATCATATACTACTCATGCAAAACATATCTCATAAGCAACTCATGCTATCATATACTACTCATGCAATCTCGTGCAAAACATATCTCATAAGCAACTCATGCTATCATATACCACTCATGCAATCTCATGCAAGACATATCTCATAAGCAAACTCATGTCATCATATACTACTCATGCAATCTAATGCAAGACATATCTCATAAGCAACTCAGGCAATCTTGTGCAAAACATATCTCATCAGCAACTCATGCTATCATATACTACTCATTCAATCTCGTGCAAAACATATCTCATAAGCAACTCATGCTATCATATACTACTCATGCAATCTCATGCAAGGCATATCTCATAAGCAAACTCATGCTATCATATACTACTCATGCAATCTCATGCAAGACATATCTCATAAGAAAACTCATGCCATCATATACTACTCATGCAATCTAGTGCAAGATATATATATAAGCAATCTCGTGCTACTGCTCATGCAATCTAATGCAAGATATATATAAGCAATCTCGTGCTACTACATACTCATGCAATCTCGTGCAAAACATATCTCATCAGCAACTCATGCTATCATATACTACTCATGCAATCTCGTGCAAAACATATCTCATAAGCAACTCATGCTATCATATACTACTCATGCAATCTCGTGCAAAATATATCTCATAAGCAACTCATGTTATCATATACCACTCATGCAATCTCATGCAAGACATATCTCATAAGCAAACTCATGCCATCATATACTACTTATGCAATCTCATGGAAGACATATCTCATAAGCAAACTCATGCCATCATATACTACTCATGCAATCTAGTGCAAAATATTTATAAGCAATCTCGTGCTACTACTCATGCAATCTAGTGCA